TGTCCCCTCTGCAGAAACAGAAATACATGTTTAAAAGATGTAAATAATTATACAGACTTGTTTAACTTAGATTTCGTGACAAAAGACAGGCTTTAATTTGTTACCACAAATCACCCCTCCTCCTGCCGAGTCATCACAAATGAAATAGGAAATGTCGGGTTTGCTTCGGGCTCGGGCCTGCAAATCAAGATAATTGGTCGGGCTCGGGCCGGGTTGGGCTTAAATACCAGCAGGCCGGGTCGGGCTGGATTTTTTGGGCCCGATCTTACCTCTACATCAAATCCATGGTATCATTTTAATCACTGTCTGTCATTACATTTATTTTCCACATGATGGCGCAGTAGCACAAATAAAGCCTCATGATGCTTCGGCCCAGGAACGAACCAATTGGATGTAAAGCCTCATTGCTTCATGAGGCTTCATTTTCCCATCACTAGTAGAGACAAACAATGCAATACTTTAATATGACTGCAGCTTACTGAGGCACTTTTTTGGGAACCTCTTCTTTGTTCATGTTTGTATGACTATTATTGTTTAAACTGATGTCCAAGACATGCACACCAGAGGCAGCACAAGGGCAAGAAATAATTTCAAGGCATTTCTATTCACTCAAATATGATTTGAGATACATACACATCTGTTGAGTTACATTCATGGTCTTCTAAAAAAAATTAAACTTCTTAGTCAAGGCAATACTACAATAGTACTTAATTGCTAACAGTACAGTTTTTCTACGGCCAGTAGAGAGAGCTTCCGCATCTTAAATTTAAATTGTGTCATTCATTTGCTTTATTGGCATGCAGAAAGCCATAACATGCCTCGGTCTGAGACAAGAATATTATTGTGAATTTCTCCCCTGTCTACAAATTGAAATATGGTGAATAAAATTTTCAAGTGTTGAGTCTGAAATGCAACCCGTTCAATGATTCAATCCAGTAAATAAAGAATTTAAAACATGTAGTTTTCATGCATTTCACTTGGCCAAAAACGGCCACTATGGAGCTAAAAAGTCCAATATGATGAAAACAGCATGTGATTGATTGGCACCGGTATTTGTAAATACCGGTATGTGAAGTTGGAAATTACAAAATTAGACAGGAATCCCCAGCCGTGAGAAGTTTCATTCCACCTGTATTAACAGAGCTAAAATAGTAACCAGGTGGACACAAATGGCCAGCATCGAGAACAGATGGTTAAGCCCGATCGATTTGTTTTCAAACCATGTTGTGTTCTTATGTTTGAAAATGTGGGAAAGTGGTGCTGGCGGATGTGATGAAAAGAGCCGTCTTGCCATTTTTCAAAACAGAACACATCCGGTATACTCTCAGGAAAATGAAATGAGAAACAACATGACTTTCTGTGCGGTCTGGTAGCCATTGCATTTGGGAAGCACTCACATAAAAGTCTGCGGCGACGTATTGGAGCAACATGACGTCCCGCTTGAATGTCTCATACATTTATTTTTTTTTCTTCCTACTTTCTTCCCTCCAAATTTTGCTGCTGTAGATTGCGAATTTCTCCATTGTGAGACAAATAAAGGTTTTCTTGTCTTATCTTCAAAACACAATATCAGTTTGTTGGTAATGCCTGCAGATGACACACACGAGTTTGTGGGAGAGGCACAGAGGTGAAAGAGAAGGTCGATGAATCTTTGTGAATAGCTAGTACAAACCCGATGACATCCGAGAGCCTCTGTGGAAATGTCACAATCGACACGGTGACAGCCGCGTGGATCAACTGTTTGAGTGGTGTCTCGCGCACAACACAGCAGAAGGTTGCACGTCCCTTCGGGTGGAACTATGAAAAGCCTCATCTGACTTTATGCAGCGGTAAGTGTGCGCACGGGGAGGATGCCCATCAGTGATGCCTGAATAACACTTTGCTGGAGTGTTGATTCATCCTTCTCTCGTGATAACTTATTGAACGCTTCAAATCACTTTATCCGACAAAAAGATGCAAGAGCTTGGCAGAGCTCATTAAATTCACCTTTAACGTCATCACAATACTGAATTTTTTAAAAGTGCGCTCATGTATTGAGTGTACGTACGATAACATTCTGTCATTTTGGATGATTAGCCTTTGTCCAAAAAAACAAATCTAGTGCAAGAGCTGCATAAGACATAATTAGCTATTCATTTATAATGATGAGATATCATAATGGACAAACCCTGCTATATTGTTTATCATCATTTGTGGCCCTGCGATATCGCAGATTTTTAAGCAATCATTTTATATGTGTGTGTATATTTTTGTTAACAGTATTCAGGAAAGTCCTCATTTAGATTTGTGTGGCTTCGGTGCAGTATTGCATTGTGTCACTAAATTCCGGCCAGCACTGAGTTCAACTGGACATAGGTGCACCATAAGTAAGAGCAAGAAGAAGCAGCAGAGAATGTTTCCTACCAAGCTCCACTAATAGTCATTATTCCCGTAGAGCAGAGAGAATTTATGCCTGTGAGTATTGTATGCTCTGTTAGTATGTGTTGCTGCTCCATCTGTGTAAAGTAGCCGCCTTGTAGTTGCTAATTTTCAGCTAGCCCATTTTGGATTGTTAGGATTTTGTTCAACAAAATCATCTAAATATTTTGGTGTATTTGTAAATATACAATGTTTAATTCTCTTTTAGGTCAGTATATTGATGGCATCAGCAGAGTAAGTGTTGCAGTAGGTAGAGAAAGAGTGTTCACGGAGTGAATGACAAACAGCATGTGAAAAAGCCAGTGACGTTCAATTCGAGCCATGCCGTCAGTCGGCACCGTTTACGGTAGTTTCTTAGTTGTATATCTGTAAATAAATTATTATTTTTAGATTTCCATAAAGGGCTTGCTTAAATTTCAACTAGTATTGAATGAGAAAGGAAATAGACCTTATTGAACATGATTAGTTTACTTGATTAGCAAGAGCGGCTCTAAGTGGCAATGGCAACTGCTGACGAATATAATCATTCAATAAAGAATGTAACACTCTCTCTTGTGTCTCTGACTTAATTGAACTCTTCCCTTCGGAGTTTTAAAAAAAATGAGGGATTGTTGGGAGGCAAATACTTCATGAAGACAACACTGGATGGTCTCTGCACTTGTTTTATGTGCAGACATTTAGTTTTTGCTTTAAAATCTCAGTCCCATGACGAATGCGCTCGCCTTAAATCCTCTACTTCACACCACTGGAGGCCCTCAAATGCACACACACACGCGCAAACACACACGCACGCACACACACACACACACGCACACACACACACACACACACACACACACACACACACACGCGCGCGCGCGCGCGCGCACACAAACATGCATGTCACATGCATCATCACGCACAATCCCTAAGAGCAATGTCGCTCAACTCAAATAGGCCAGCTAATCTCAGCCAAGGAGGGCTCGTGTGTGTGTGTGTGTGTGTGTGTGTGTGTGTGTGTGTGTGTGTGTGTGTGTGTGTGTGTGTGTGTGTGTGTGTGTGTGTGGGGGGGTGTGTGTGTGTGTGTGTGTGCGTGTGTGCGCGCGCGCGCGCGCGCGCGTGCATGTTTGCATGCGTGTGCGTGCCTGTGAGCAGCTCTGGCAATGTCACAGAGGGGAAAGCAGCAAGTTGTGGAGAAGGAAAATCAGAACAGAGGGAAAGGGGCAGGGGGGAGTAAAAAGCTGACAAACCAGAAAGGAGGGATGCAGGGAGGAGGAATAAATGTCAAGAAGCGCAAAGAGGCAGGATGAAGAAGAAAAAAAACACACCGAGGCTGAGAAAGCAGAGGATAAGTGTCAGACGACATGCAAAGATAGGGAGACACAATGAAGTCTCAGTCACAGAGACAAACAAGGAGATAAAAGAGAGATGGAGGCCAGCTAGAGAAAGAGAGAGAGAGAGAGAGAGAGAGAGAGAGAGAGAGAGACCAACATGAAATTGAAAGACGAACGGCGGATGGAGGAAGGAGGCTTAAACGAGCAGTTTAGGCAGCGAGCGAGCGAGAGACTGGGCGTGAGGCCAGCTCGCGAGTTCACAGGAGTGCAAAGCGCAAACAGCCACGAGCGCTCTTACTTTGACGAACATCATCGTCAGCCCGCCCGTGTTGGGGCTTTGCTAACAGAGCTAATTTGCTAACAGCGATAATAACAATGGGTGGGGGATGTGAGTCACATAAGTTGACAGGCTTTCACAAAATGTCAGTAAGCCGTGGTAATATTAGCTGTTCTATGTAAAGGATAGAGAATATATACCTGTGTGTATTTTAATTTTGTCAGTCTACATGTGTTGCTCCCCTGTTTGTGTTCAAATATCCGTTGCTTAAAGGGTTATAACACCATGACACCAGTTATTCGCTAGCCCATTTATGGCATTTTGGATGATTAGCATAAGATCAACGGATTTGGCTAAGTCAATGCGATGTGAGGTGATTAAATGCTCAACGTGCAATCATCTTTGTTTGATGTTTAGTTTGACAATAAACCCCAGCTGGGAATGGCCATTAAAAAGCTTGAACCCCCCCCCTTTTTTTGAAGAGTTGTTTACTATCTGCCAAACTGCTGCTTGTTGGGATGTGATTGGGGTTGAGTTCAGTGCCACATAGAGTGCACCTATTTATTGCAAACTTTACACACAAGTCAAAGCAAAAGTAAATAAATACATTTGAAAAAAATTATGTTTTTGATAAAACAAGGGAAATGACAATGGGACAGTGCAAAGTATGGGCTGAATATGTCTTACCAGACAGTGAATTAGAATAATTTATATTTGAATTTGAATCGCCAAACTTGAATCAGTGCAATGAAAAATCTGAATTACTGTACATTAATTGAATTTTCATTGCTTAATTTGACTCTTTACTTTTAAAAACTGAATGTGAATCGTGCAATCTGAATTTGACTTCCTCACTGAAAATTCAATTCTGGATTTTTTTGCACATTCAGTTTTACAAATACAAATTCAAACCTTTTCCACACAGATTCAGCTAGCAGCCTCCCACCTTATTTAATTGAGAAAACAGCACTTATTCTTAAAACATGAAAAATACCAAACTGGGCACTGACATATTCATTTGAGATGACGATAAAGTAACAGACAAAACGGAGACTAATCGGGCCCATTCACGAACTATGATTGGGAAATACTACAGCGAACAACAAGTACAGGTACTGATTGTCGAACGGTTTTGCCCCTCCCTAACTCTCTCCATGACCTCTCTGACGTCCATGACCCAGCATCATTGTAACTTCAATCACATCAGCTTTTTACATCATTTCACTTTGTGAACTCTACTTGACTCACACGAGCAAAAATATCCAAAAGTGAACAAGCTGCTGGCAACAGATGCAGAAGACGGGTGGTGGTGGTGGTGGGTGGGTTCATTAGTTGAATAAAGTAGTAAAAGGAAAAAAAAACACATTTAGCTACAAGGGACCCACACTGATTACTAGTTTGTGGATAATAAAATCCAACTGTAGCACAACTCTGGTGAAATTGAGGTGAAATGATTAATGAAGAAGCACCATGCAGCCCAATTAGCTCGTAAACATAAACACGGGCGGACATCAGGTTACAACATACTGAAACTGGATTTGTACTTTTGTTAGAATGTCGCCTATCACTAATTTATGCTGATGCAATAGTCATAATTACAGTTTTTTATTGTATGAAAAACAATTGTAGGCTATAAAACAGTCAAATTAAAAACTAATTAAGCAGTAACTGACCATGCCCTCTTGTCCACATGACTTTGTCGCCTTACGTTTGGCAGCTTGAAATCGATACTATTATGACTATTTTCATCCAAGTTTTGTCTTTTTCTTGCCCTATTTTTGTCATTTTTGGCTAGATTTTTAAAAATTAAATTTTTGTTGTCTATGTTAAAAAAACTTTTGTATCATATTTTAAATTGATTTGGAGAGTATTTTGTCATATTTTTTCTATTTTTGTCCTTATTTGGCCAGATTTTTTGCATTTTTTTTTTTAATTCAGATTTTGATCAGTTAATTCTTCAAATCTGATGTACCAGATTTTTGTCACTTTGTTTTTTTTTCCCCGAATTGTGTATGGGTTTTTTTTGGGGCCATTTTTGCTATTTTTGTCAGGAGTTGTTACTTTTTTGTTTTTGGTTATATATTTTTTTTCAAGGTGAATTGAATTTTCATCGGTTTAGACTACCTCAGTTGGAAACTTATTTACTAACAATACATATTTGGATAAAAAATATTTACCCTAAATGCATTTTTCATGTAAGTTTTGGTTGTACTTTGGTCCTGGAGCTGGGTCATTTTGGTTGTTTGGTGTCTTATAAGCTCATGTGGGCTGGGTGTACTATTGTATGTGTCAAACAGTAATCAAAACGTCATTCATTCATATAATTCTTGCGATGCTTACAATCTTTGAAATAGTTCATTCACCTATTGGCATTCGATGCATTTTGCCAGTTTTTTAAATTTTGCAATACTAGTCCATTTTATTCATTATTTTCTGTCTGGTTTTTGCCAGTGTTTCTGTTGTTTCGCATGATTTTTAACATTTTTTTGGGGGACAATTCTTTGCAGATAAATGTAACTTGTTAACAGTAAATACTTTGCCCATTGTATGATTTCCGTTCTTACTATCAGTAATATGTTCACAGACAAAAGTAATTATGGCTATAACTAAGCAGGTTTTCTCGTACTACATGACAATATATCGTTACATCCCTGTGTGCACCACAGTAGTTCAGTGCAACAGAGCGCCCATGTACATAGACTATAGCGGTGGGGTGCACTGAAAAATTGGCATGATAATCAAATCAATACAGAGCATACTGCATGTAGTCAATTGCAATTTTGGAGGGTGAACCTTTGTGTGGTGGCAAAATGACACCACCTAATTGTGATGCTTCCCCTGCTGGGACCCACCAGGCCTCTTAAGTGGCACGTATTGCCAAAAATGAAGACAAATATGTATTTGTACAACAAAACACAGCATAAAACCCATTGAGATAAAAGGTTTACATTTAGATTCTGCTCAACAGGTACAGAGTTGGGTTAGGACTTAAAGACCACGTAAAGTAAATTCAGAGATTTGTTTTTAAGCGCATGGTAAATGTTTGAAGATAATTGCGTGCAAAGACGGAGAATTATTTAGGATGCAATTGTGGAGTGTAGCTGTTCTTCATTATTGCAATTTTGCAGATTTAAAAAAAAATTTTTTTTTTGGCGTGGCGAAAACCTTGGCCAGTGATGAACTTTGGCGTCCAGCATGAGTCACCCCTCCCCCCACTGCATAAGAACTTGAAAGCTTCCCTTCTCATCAGTGCCTACACCCCTGAAAATAAATTGGCCCTTTAGATAACCCACGAGCCCGGCTGCTTCAAGGTATCTTGTTGTTGTCCGTGAGTTTGTCTGTGTGGTGCATCACATTTAGAAGACGCATTTGATTTTCACTTGACGGGCACTTGAAGAGAGTTTTGAAGTACCTGTGTCCATCTTTCCGTCCTGAGCAGCCGGCCCATCTGGAATGACACTCTTCACTTGCAGGAACTCGTCGGGCTCATCACCTCCAATTATTGTGAAGCCAAATCCCATGTTACTCTTTTGTAGGCCCGTAGACAGAAATGTGCCTTTCAATTGGGTCGGGTCCCTCGTGAACAGCGGCTTTTCTGCAGGAGAGACAAAACAGAAGCCTGAGGTTGAAGGTATTTCTTGCGGAGTTGAGTCGTGCACAGAAGATCTCAGTGTTTTTTTTTTGTTTTTTTTTTTTAGAGTGGTGTGTGGCGGGGGTGGGTGTAAAATTAGTTCTCTCGCACTCTGATTACTTTGCTGCATGTTGCGCCAGCTTTTGTGCAGCTTTCCCCCCAAACATTAGTGAGTCATTTGGCGCTTATTTTGGAATGGTCTAGCACACCCTTATCTCGGTGCCTGGCTCAGCTCACTGGAGGCCTTCGGGGTGATCATGTTCTCGGTGGTCTCACCCGCCCACCCGACTGCTGTTCTCTCCACTCACCCCCAGACATGCCGACATTGTGAATCTGCCCTGTCTGATGCTTCTTCACAACAAGGCCGCTCCTAACAGTATGGACAGTGGACAAAGATGCATGAAAGCTTGATGTGCACCGACACAGCGCAATTTGCATCTCCACCTTGCGGTCTCTTTGAGTTGTCTGCAAAAGTTGAATGGAGGCACCTTGGCTTTTCTTGGTTGTTGAAGACATTTTGCATTTCATCTAAAATTCTTCATCTGTTCTAAATTTTAGGTGGGGGCCTTCTTTTTTATGTCTCTGATGGGTGTGGCCCTAGAGGGTGGTTACATAAGAGATGCTGTTGTTGTTGCCAGGTATAGCAACAGGGACTTTTCTTGTCCCCCTATTCCCTAGACAAGAAGAAGAATGGAGGCCCTCCCAAAGGTAAAAAAAAAAAATCTAGGCGATGGATCAAGAAAAGATATATTTTGTTACGTAGAGTAATTGACATATCTCGAAATGCCAAATACGGTAATTTAAATAAATAAATTCGCCTCCATTCAACTCGCTTCCAGTATTTTTTCCGTTTGGATCCAAACGTACTAAATGAATCCCTCGGTTATTTCGCCCATTTGGCAGAGGCAATCCTTGGTGCACCCGCTTAGCACATCAGCTTCCACTTTTGTTTGCGTGCGCAATCAATTTTGTCGAACCTTTTGTACATCAGGCCCTTTGAGTGATGTTTGTGCAATTTCCCCACAAGGTGATACCATCACGCAGTGTACCTCTGTATATGGTGGGCAGCGGGAGAGCGGAGAGGCCCTGACTCTGCATCTGCCGTTGTTGCTCAAGGCGCCTCTTTGCTTCCAGGACTGGATTCTCAAACTGAGTCCTGCGATTGATGTGACTGCAAAGAACATTGACGATTAGGCTAGAATCATAACGATACAGTGCAGTCAAGTCCCTGAGAGAATATATTTATCTATTTAGTTATTTTAAAAGGCTTTTTGCCTTTCCATATCACCACAATGGATTTCATACATACAATGGGAGTTAAGTGTGGTGTTTTTACAACATGACATTTACCATTTATGGAATGATAGTAACATGATGCACGTTAGCCTCCATTTCCTGGGTGTCAAAAGAATGAAGGTTAAGAGATATCACTGTAAATATAGAAAGGTTTAATACTCACTACTTTTGCGGGAGATTCAAAGTGCCGCATTTTTCAAACCATAAGGCACACTTAAAATCTTTCAATTTTCTCAAAATTCGACAGTGTATAATGCAGTGAGCCTTATGGATGTATGAAAGTCAACTTTTCAGTTTGTTGTCTTGAATTCAAATTCCGTCCTTCTCATTCTTTAATCATTATGTTTTCATCATGCCGGAACGAGAGCTATTTCCTGCTTCCATGTCTAACAATCATGGGAAATCTAGTCCAACTACCTATCACTGCATTTGGATTGAATGCAAGCTGAGCGTTTCTGGCGGCGCGTTTCCAAGGTTAAAATGTGTTACCGCGAGGTAAACTACACAGACGGCTTCTAATAGCTCTGCAGAACCGAAAGGAAAGTGAGTGCATTGTTTACAGCTGTTGAACTGTCAACCAAGATAGCATTTATCATTAGCCAGAGAAACAACACAACCACCGGTCACGAGACCGACAATGTTCAAAGTTGTTTTTTTTTGTTGTTTTATTTCTTTCCATCTATCAGAAGATCCCTTCCCTCTTCTCAAAGAAAGCCCCAATTTTGTTGCATGGTGAATAAAAGTGCTAGCTGATATTTCGTGTCCGGTCTGAACCTGCGCTAAATCCCTCAAATAAATATTTGGTATAACAATGCTTCACATAATCCACTTTATAACCTGGTTTGCTTTATGTATGAAAATGTTCATTGATATTGCGTCTAATGGTCCGTAATGGTGTGCCTTACTAGGCCTTCATAACAGCCGCCCTCACTCGGAGTTTGTGCATAATGACTTCAATTAAAGCTGGAAATCATCTTTGTTGTGTCTCAAATCCATTAAGTTGGCAGAAGAGTCAAATATTAGTAAACTACATTTTGGTAGCCAGACGTACCTTTTCATTGCTGCACTTTGGACCTGCTAATGTATTTTTAACACTGATGAAGTGTGCAATGATCTTGCTGTCCTTTAAATTAGCTGCATCTCAATGAGGTTGTGTTCAACACAAAGGTGTACAAAAAATGTTGATTTCAACATGGGGTCCATTTTTTTTAATGCCAAAGTAAATGATTGGTTATTGATTAATCTTAAAGATATAAGCTTCATTGCGCAGTGGTTAAATCAATGTGACAACTAGTGAGGAGAACGCCATTGCTCTATAAATAGAATAGAATACTGAGGGGAAAAAATATATTAAAAAAGTGAAATTCATATATTTACCACATGGAGTCAAATTCTTTTGGATTTTTGAAATAAATTTTCTAAATTAAATCTCACACCTAATGAAAGCCCATAATTCAATCTCAAGCAAGGACAATATTACATAGGAACAGTACAATTGGCTTTTAAAATTGAAATTAAGTGAAAGATATTTCTCCATTTGTTTAATTAGGCTGTACGTTTACAGAGTACAACCTTCAGTTTTAGAACTTAACTACTCATATATACGAACTTTTACACAATATTCAAATGTATTGAGATGCACCTGCAGGCTACCGTATATTTCCAACGGTAAATCCTGAAGGCAATATGTGACTACAGCCAAAGGGTGTTTAAAAAAAAAATCGACGCCATAAATATTGCAGCATAAAATAAACTTCAAATTTGGATAATCTGTGCCTATTACAAGAGTTTTGACAAATGAGCCTCGAGACGCCAAAGACAAGCGTGAGCAAAAAGTCATTCATAATTCATCAGGATGCAAACAACGGAATGGTTGCTTTGGCCGTTGCGACTTACTCCACGTAGTAGCTGCCGTAGATGGGGTCGTCGATCTTCTCCCAGCCGTAGGGCAGCTCTGAGGTGCGGGGAAACACATGAGGGAAATGAAGTCAGTTTATGGCGTGAGCAACAGAACAAAACCGAACACTAGAGCCACTAAAAGGAGACAGCGGGCATCTAAGGTCACGGGCCAGCACTCCCACTGTCCTTTTTCCTTGACGGTCGATACTTGAAAAAGAAAACTAATTTATGGTCCAATTATTGTGCCGTTACATTCCATAACACCCCGTAACAGGTGAATATCCACAAAGTACCGAAGAAATACAAATGCAAAAAAAAAAAAATAATAAATGTATATCAGGTGGGGAGGTATTACTGTATTTTTGTTGCCATCCTCTTGCTCTACGCTTCAGTATCTGTGACTTTGAATGTGTGTGGCTTTAAAAGACAGGGCTTGGCTTGTTGAGTGAAGCGAAGGTCAGCGAATGAGATTGTAGTTGGCTGTTGTCAGCTCAGGTCAGCCAGTCCGTGCGTTCAGTCCCTGGGCGTCACATGTGGTCAGAGCAGCTAGCGTAGGAACAAGCTCGAGTATTTATTTTGTGATCGTTTGCCCCAAAAAAGCGAGTAAAAGTGCACCGTTGGCCGTGTCGCTACTTGATTACTTATGAGGGCATTACAATCCGTTCTAATTAGCGGGGGTAAACAATATCAAATTAGCTAATGATATGAACGTCATTGCGTCGGCTTGTAGACGTGCTTATTTGGAAGCCAGTTCTGCTTTGCAGTACACAACACACATTGCGCTTCATCTTCTTTTGTTGTAAAATGATCACAACTTTTCGCTAACTGGGGCTGCAACTAATAATTGTTTTAATCATCGATTAATCTGTCCAATTTTTCAATTGATCAACTGAATCAAAATGCTTTTCTGTCCTTTCTAGCCTTCCCTTCAGAAACAGAAAATCATTTCATTTCGACAGTGCAGAAAATGCACAAACAAGCGACTGATTAATTGTGATTCGGTTACTGGTTTGGTCCGTAACATGTCAGAAAAAATGCTAAATGTTAATCAGTGTTTTCCACAGTAAAAGCAAAAGAGAGAGAGAGAGAGAGAGAGAGAGAGAGAGAGAGAGAGAGAGAGAGAAATGCCTTCTAAACTATGTAACACATTTAAGAAAGCCAATTTCCAGACAATTTCAGACCTCTCATTCACAAAATAAGTAACACCCTCATAGGGCTTAAAAAAAAAAAACATTAAAAATCCATACTGAAACCAAACACAACCCATTGAAAGGTGGCCCATCATCATTATGCAAAAATGCAAACCAGTAATTGTAAATTTGCAAAATACAATGCTCCCTTGTATGGCCTAAGAAAAGAGAGTGTCACTGCATGTGTTATGACAAGACCTGTGAACGGTGGATTGAAGAATATGTGCCATTTTTAAGGACAATTAAGGCCTTCTTTTGGGAAAATCTTAATGTGAGGATCTTGTAAAAGTTTATTAAAAATGGTCACTGAGTTAACTGGCTGTTAAGTAGCTCAATCTATGCCCATCCCTGTTCTACAGCAAAAAATTGTTCCCGTTTATAAAAACGTGTACCAAGCACATCTTCACATTTGTCTGTTCTTTTCTCACAGCCGCCCACTCTCTTTTGGCCTTCCAGCTTCTCCCTTTGTTAATTGTCTCGTCCTCGCTGCCAAGTATCCCTTTTCCCATTTATCTCTCTTTTACTGCCCTCGGATAAAGTGGGTCAAAGCGGGGCTAAAACGCTGCGTGGCTTTTTGTCCTGCCTTTCACCTCTAGCCAACAAGACAACACAGAGAAGGATACAAGTGCAGTGAACCCCACTATATCCCAGTTCATGGTTGGCTGCCTTGCTTTATGACAGATTTTTAAGCCAACGATGTTTAATGGGGTTGCAAGAATCAGGAATTTGAATTACGCGATTTTAGTGTAGTAACACGTCAGGTGTACAGGTCTACTAGGAGAAATGCAGCAGAATGAAGAGCAGGAAGAAGAGGCAGAGAAGCTCCTCAATGAAGCTCCAATTATTGTCGCATGTGCGTGTGCGTGTGTGTGTGTGTGTGTGTGTGTGTGCGCGCGTGTGTTTTAACGGAGCAGTTGTTTGTACATTTACAATTACTGTACAGTAAAATGCTAATCAATGCTAATTTTCATGAGGTGCTCTTTGGCATTAGGCAATATATGTTCACATTAGGCTCGGGAAAGAGTTTAAATTAAACTCTTTCGTTAAACATTTTAATGTTTAAATAATGTTTAGTTCCTGTTCATTTATTGTGTGAGTTTTACAATTCGACTGGGAGTGACAAAAACACGCTTTGCCTTTTCTTTTGGAGACCTGTGCCACAAAGTGTATTTTAACAAGATTGTGCTGTACTAAGTTTAATTAAGACATGCGAGGGTGTCGCACATCATGGTGTCTACAATCACAGCCTTGATAATGCATATTAAAACATCACGACTTGAGTGTTATTGCTTTAATCTCCATTTAGTGAACAACACCAAGTTTTGTTTATCCGTTATTCCGGCCCGCCAACACAAATAGTTCCACATTTTGCATATTCGCTAATTGGCAGGTTGACCTGTGATTCAAGCACGTAGTTATGAATGCCATTGAAGTTCTCGGCAGAAAATGCTTGGAGGAGAGGGGGTGCCTGCAGCCAATCATATTTCAGCAAAATATGTCCTGTCAAGAACTCCAGTTGAATTCTTAATAATGGTCCCAGGTGCCTAAAACTTTTTTTTTTCCTTTGGTGAACAAAAAACAACCGTAAAAATGACAACAACAACAAAAACACTTATAGCAACACATCGCATTGTTATCAAGTGCTATCAAGTTCTGCCATTTTGTCAAAATACAGATTGATGATTAGCCACCATCGTGATAGCAAGTTAGCCAGCTAGCTCGTTCAGCCTTGTTTCTAACAGTCATAGAAACAATAAATGCAAAAATAACAATTCACAAATAACACAATGTGCTACCTGTATGGTTTATTTAGGTTGTTCCTCCTCATCAACCACTGCTCGCTGAAGTAGGCCAAATTAACAGCTTCGAACACTTTGAAGTGGAGTGATGTGTCATGTTAAAAGTCCCGGAACATTTGCACTGTATATTATCATGAAGGACTCTTGTGCAACTAAATTGTTTGGTCAGAACGAACTGTTTTATGAGTGTGCTTCATGAAATACAAATGGATTTAAACCACGTGGAAGAGGAAAATGTGTATTGTGCGAGTTCCCTTATTGCGGGTGGCTGCGGAACGTATCTCCAGCGCTCAACAGAGGTTCACTGTATGTCGCTGTAAGAAGCGTTTAAGATGTATTTGGGTGAAGCGCTCACTCGGCAGGATGAGGAACATAACAAGGGGATTGACCTTGCACTTTTACGTGCAAGTAAACATAGAAAAATGCCCATCCACACCCACAGCCATCTGCTCAAGCTGCTCCGCTCCCACACAAGCATACGCTACTAATTCAGCACTTGTGATAAGCATCCATCAGACATTTTTTAAGCGGTCATCTTCCTCCCCTAAAATTTTTTATACATAAATAATAAAAGTACACTCTGATATGTATCATAAAGGACTTAACAACTTCAGCATATTTTGCTTTTTCTTTAGCTTTTTAGACAACACTCATTACAAAAAGTAGACATAGTAAGACGCATAGTGTGGGGTCAAGTGCTCCTATTACAGTGATGTGTTCCTCGAGCCGGTCCTCGAGGCCAAGGACCGGCTCGAGGACCGAAGGTCGGTCCTTGGTCCTTGGCCTTGGCCTTGCAAGTCAATTCCTTGGCCTTGGCCTTGGCCTTGGGAGTCAAGTCCTTGGCCTTGGCCTTGGCCTCGGGTTGCCGGTCCTCGGACACAATGAGGG